AATTAGCATGTAAATATAATATAAAGTATTTACTGGGCTCTGTTCTGTTCCTAAAAATAGAGAACAGCTATATATCTTTGCACTTTAAAAAGGTGGGTGGCCAACTCATTTTAAAGCTTGAAGGACCTTGCTTTACAGGGTACTAAGCGGTCAGTTATTGATTTTATTCTTGCCATTGCCCACAAAATACCTACACTCTTTTGAAACTTACATGCCCAAATGTCTGATTCTTAGATGCCTAAAGAGCATGTGTAATAAGAAACAAAAAGAGCAACTGGCATAACCATAATCTGTTAATTGTGATGATCATTGTTATCGTTATTATTGATTTAGGTAATTCTAGGAATTCTACTTCCTCCTTCAATTCTCAGCTTGGAGTTCAAAAACAAAGATGATATGCCTTACATGTCTCAGGCTCAAGAGATCCATTTGCAAGAAAAAGAACCAGAAGAAGCAGAGAAAACAGTAAAAGAAAAAGAAGAGGAAGATATGGAACTCACAGTAAGGGGAAAACATTGCTGGAAGTGGTCTGCATAATTATTATTTTCTGGATATTGTCATCTGTGTTAAGGAGCACAATGCCATTAAGGAGTGTAACTTATTATACATTCATTTTGGTATCCATTTTTAAATAAACTTTAAAACTTTACCCAAGCTTTAACAGTAACCAGGGATAATTCCTAATTTGAATGTGTTATAGTATATCCATTATCTTATGAGAAGCCATGTTAAGATGAATAGCCAGGCTTCCCAAATTGTACGACTGGTTACATATTTTATACATTTCATTACTATCTTACAGTTGTTTATTGTACTTTTGTGAAGAACATTACTTAAGTGATTAGGTATAAAACTATAGGAGGTCCCCAATTATCCAAATGGAATAACAATTTTTGGCTATTACTACAAAACTTAAGTGAATTAACAAACTCAGAAAAATGTTGTTATTTAATCTTAGGTTTACATTCCAATAATATTTTAATGAAGAAAACTCATTCTAAACAAATGTCTATTAAACCTACTAGAATATAACAACAGCATCAACAATAACAATCCCTCTGCAAATAATTTAAACACATAAGTAAAAACATTTCTACTGATAGCTATGATGCTTATCATACAATTCCATATTCATTTATGTTATTATATTTTGTATCTATTTTCCATTTATGACTAGGAAAATAAACTCCAGAAATGTGTCTAAAATAAGATATTCAACATTTAACTCTGCCCATCAATCAGAATCCCCCTCCCCCAAAAAATCTTAAAATGTAAGAATCTTGAAATACTTTGAGAACATGCTTGTGCATGATTCAAGGAAGTTTTCTCAAATACTGTGTGGGTAGCTGCAAGATATCAAGGCAAAACACATCACTTTAGAATGATTCCAATTATAAAGGAATTGATAAAAATATTGAAAATATGCATAGCAAAGACAGTGGCTTCACAAACAGGTGAAGGGATCATTTGTTATAGAAAAGCTTTGGGTTTTGGTTAAAAACTGTAAAATAAGACCCTTGGAAACCATTTCATATTTGAGACTCTATGGAAAGTAATTTTCTTTTAAAAATCTCCATCTCTAAAGATTAATTCAAAAAATTATAGGTTGGCTTTTTCTTGATGCCACTGGTATCAATATTTTCCCTATGTTTTCATTCATTTTATTTTTCTGTTATTTTATTTACTTTTCTTTAAAGCATTATAAGCATACATTATACAGCACATTTATTATGACAAACACAGCCATGCCAATTTGAAGTGCTAATTCATATTAATATATTGTACATAAAACAGAGAATCAAAGCCTTTAGTATCAATTCATATATTCATAAGTTCACTGCTGGCATAAGATTTTATAAGCATTTATTTGTATTTTCACAGCTACTGACTTTCTTTCAGTGCCCTATTCAGTTTAGAGAAGCCATTAAAAACTGGATTACTTGTTAAAAATGAGGCTATTTTCTTCAGGCCATCAGCAAGCGCTGCCCCCAGGATCTTATATGCGGGCAAGCAGAAGGCATTGCCTACAAGAGCCACAATTCAGGGAAGGAGAAGAACGTAGGCACAAGATCAACCTACAGGACCCCTATGCAGGCAAGACCCCGGAACCTGGAAAAAGAGGAAAAGATCATAAGCCAGCATAAGATTGACAGGTTGCTTTCCTCTGATATGAGCTTATTCTGCTTTAATAGTAGTTAATTCTGCTGGCTTCTGATCAATAAATGAAGTGCTTATTCACATCCAATAAGCACAGATTGTTTCATGGGGCTACAATATAGTGAATAGTAATTGCTCTCTGTGACACTCCAGTCCTATGATTTCCTTCCACTACCATGTTTTCCTCTAGCAAATTCCTTGCATGCAAATACCAAAACAGATATAGCATGGTTTTCCATATTACCTCTCCCTCCTCTAATAGTGACTTTTATCCTTTACCTGTATTTTCCCCATGCCTATTATTAAACCAGTGAACCTATAGTATAATGTATATGGAATGATCATGAGCGTGATCAGATTTTCTGCAATCAACAGCAGCGTGGTTGATCTGAAGAAGTCTGATATTGTGCCTTCAAATGTGTAATTGTTAAAATGAACAACAAGTTCACATTGTTGGGCTGAACATTGTTAACAGGAAAAAAAGGAGAGATAGAAAGACTGCTGGATTGAGCAGTCATGAATATTAAACAAGTATGCCTAGAAAGGAAGCAGGACACAATAGTTTGAAAAATGGAAATGTATTAGCTTGGGCAGCAATGTTAGTAAGACATGGAGAATATCAAACATTATATTACATTATATCCAACTAACACTGATTAGAAGCACTATACCACATATTTTAAGAAACGCATGCTATCATTAGACCAGATAGTTAGATCCTTCCCTTGTTAAAGGACCGTAATATTTTCCTTATTGAAACTAAAGGGTAAGGGAATATTCTAAAAAACCTAATAGCCATAACAAACCATGATGACATCATCATGACTTAATGATATCATTTCACCAACACTGTAGTTATGAACTTGTCACGCATGCATCATTTGTCCCATATGCTTCCCCATAGTTGCTCATGTACCTCAACAGAATAGAAAATAAGCATGTACCTATCAGCTGGAAAACTGTCAGGAACCTTCTCCACTTTCATAGTAGTCACAATTTTCTGAGGACAAAGAATCAAAATGAGATTACTAATCAGGTCCTATGAGAACTGTGGTAGTCTCATTTTCAAAGAAAGGGGAAGGAAAGGGAAGGTCATACGATTTGTTCATGAGAGATAGGAACTATACAGTTCAGAGTATTTTTTTAAAAAAACAAGACCTAAATGCATGCATGCGTGTGTGTGTGTGTGTGTGTGTGTGTGTGTAAAAATTTAATGCATATACCAAGGTCTAGCCTTTAGCAATTGCAGATAACCAGTCCAGAGAGAATGAGAGCTACCAATATATATCTTCCTATGTCTATAATAATAAAATAGGCAATGTCATATTAACTTATTTAAGCTGAAAACCACTAACTTACTAGACTTCTTTTCCATTAGCATTGTCTGGTATAATATAATAAACATTTTGATTTAGTGACATGCAACTTACTAAATTCATTTTTAGCAGAGACCAGATTATTTCTCACTCAACAGGGATTGCCAGATTACTACTTCAATCCCAGGGGCTCTTTGGTTTTCTGAGGAGCTCTGGGGGATGAAATTTCAGTGGAGATGCCTAGAGCACTGTAGGAAGAAGATGAAGAATTAACCCAATTGAGTACATGTAGAAGCCAATATTAGGCATTACATTGTAGTGACAAGAACAGCAAAACATAATTATTTCCCTGCTCTTACTGTGTCTACTGAAAGCTGACCAGCAGCCCTTTTTCAGGTGACTCATTCCTTGGTCAGGCCTCAGGACCATCTTCTGAGTTGCTGTGAAGGATATTCTAAGCATTTAGTGAATAAAACCACTCAGAATTGGACTTTGACCAGACGTCTGGTTGAGGTGTCAAAGGCACAGTCTTGTTTGTTGGGACTAATTTGATCCATATAACCCCTGAGGAAGTGAACAGGATCCTGGCATGGTTAACCCAGCCACCTGTTTGTTAAATCATTGTCCTGCCTGGCTGGTGAAGGCTGCTTTGTCTTGAAGAAGGCAGTGAGGTGCCTTCTCCTCAAGTGGCCATCACTGGACCCAATTGTCCTGATGATGATGGTGATGATGATGATAGTGGTGGTGGTGGTGATGATGATGATGATGATGATTCATCCACTCTTCAATCTCTGGAGAAGGTTACTAGATTACAGTTGCAGAGGGCCCTGGAAGAAGCTCTATCTGGACCATTTTGTCAGGTGTGAGGCTTCCACATAGTACAGACATAGTACTGATTGCTTTTCAATGAGTTGTGGTGGATGGTAGTGATACATCAGTCCTGGCTATTCTTAATGCCTCAGTGGCCTTTGATATCATCGATCATGATATCCTTTTGGATAAGCTGTGGGGAAGGGAGGGGAGGGGAGGGGATAACATGATGTTACAATGGTTCTCCTCCTTTCTTTGCTGGTTTGCTTCCAGTCAGTGCTTGGAGGGGAGGTTTAGGTTGAGTCTGAAGACCTTAATTTGTGGGGTATCACAAAGCTTGACATGCCTTATTTAATATCTACATGGGAGAGATCATCTATTGGCTCAGTATCCAGATAATACTAAGTTGTTTGTTTGTTTGTTTGTTTGTTAAATTTATATCTCAATGCTTGGTTGACCAACTCATGCTGTCAAGGTCTTATCACAGCACTTGGAGGCTGTTGAAGTTTGGATGGGCTCAAGTTTAACTGTAGCAAGACCAAGTGGCTGTGGGTACTTTAACCTCCTGATTCTGGGGGTTTTCCAGCTTTGGTCCCCAATGGAGCATACTCCCCAATTCTGGGTTGGGGTGTAATCTGGGTGTATTCCTGCACAATGAGCAGGTAACAGCTATGGCCAGGAAGGCCTCTGCACAGGTTTGACTTGTCTGCCAGTCACACTCGTTCTTGGATGGAGAGGCTCTCCTTAGAGTCATTCATTGCTTGGCTATCTTGTGGGTAGACTATTGCAATATGCTCTACATGGGGCTGCCCTTGAAGACCAACTTGGAAGCTTCAGTTGGCCCATAATGTGGTGGCATGAGTAGTGATGGGCAGGCCTTGCTATGCCCACATAACACTTCGGCATCATGAGCTGCACTATTTACCAGTAAGCTTCTTAGTGCAATACAAGGTGCTGGTTATTATCTGTAAAGCCCTACATGACCTAGGTATCTTTCTGAAGGGCCATCTGCCTCTTGTAGGGTCAGAGGGAAAGTCAGCTTGTTTGGGTCCCATCAATTAAGCAATGTCATCTAGCAGGACTTAAGATAGTCAGATTTTTTTTTTCAGCTGTTGGAAATTATTTTATGTAAGGATTCCTGGACTTTCCCCAAATATTTGGAACAAATATATCTGGATTCCTCCTATTGGGCTATAAAATTTTGGGTGCAAAAATCTG